TGTGTCTTATCCTATTCGAGACCCTTTGAACGGTCAGTTCCCGAGTATCGATTGGTAGTCATCACTTTGTTTTGTGCCGAAAGCGCTCTGGCTTTTGGCTTCAGCGGCGCACGGGCACTCAACCCGCTGGCGGGTGGCCCCGTCGCAGAGCCGCCGAGGAAGACTTCGACGTGCGGAACCACATTGTGCATCGCAGGCATTACGTCATCATCATCATCATCATCATCATCATCATCATCATCATTATTATCATCACCATCATCATCATCATCATCATCACCATCACCATCACCATCACCATCACCATCACCATCATCATCATCATCATCATCATCATCATCATCATCATCATCATCATCATCATCATCATCATCATCACCATCACCATCACCATCACCATCATCACCATCACCATCACCATCACCAGCACCATCACCATCACCATCAACATCAACATCAACATCAACAGCATCATCATCTTCATCACAAATTCTGGGTCAGTGGAGATCTTCACATCACCGGTGCATCGCCGATGTGGAACCCGACCTGCTCCACGCTGGCGCGGTCGATGCATCGCCGAGGGCGCCGATGCGATGCTGCGCGATCCTCCGACCCCATCTGCGCGGACTTCATCTGGGATGCCCCGAATCACTCGAGGAGGCTCTCGCCCGAAAGGGGTTGGTCTTTCCCTGCTCCACCATCGCTTGGGAGGCGTTGGCGGAGCAATCGCCTTCAAGCGTGGGAGCCAGGGCCGCTGTTCGAACGTCGTGGAGCCCTCGGGCGCGCCAAGGCAGCCCTCGTGGATCGGCCTGGAGGACGTTTACTCGGAAGCCGGGCAAGGGCTGCGAAATCCGTGGCTGCTAAAATCGACCTCCGGGAAGTCGTCTTCGCCCTGCCGGGAAGAAGCCCGTTGACCATATGTTTCGCGTGCCGCGCGCCTCATCTCCGGGAAGTTGTTTTTTTTTCTTCCGGGAGGGCCGTTTTCGCAGCCACGGGTTTAGCAGCCCTCGCCCAGCTTCCGATTTACGCTTGCCAGCTCCGCCGACGGCGCTGCGTCGATTGGTGGGGCTTCGGTCTCCGCGCAAACAGCCCCCCATGGAAGGCAGCGCCAGCTGGCCTCGCCGGGCGCCCCGAGCAGGCCAGCGCTGGCCTCCACGGGCCCCCCTCGGAGTGCAGTCCCGGCTGGCCTCAAGGCCCCGACCTCGGGGCGCGGAGCGGGACAGAGGGGGGTGATGACTGTACACCTTAGGCGATGCTTAAGAAAACTTAAATTTTCGGCCAGAGTCTCGATTATTCTTAATGTTTCAATGTAAATCCTAAGTTTTTTTTATAGAAATGTTGGGTTCTCATTCAAATTCTGAGACTATGAATTTCTTAACCCATGATTTCTTAAGCATTTCGCAGGGTGTAGGGGGGGTGGATATCATGGCGGGGGCCATGATAGATCTCCCCAGATTGCAGGGCGCCGCTTCTCATTTCGTTACGCCCCTGGTCCCCCCCCTTGGGCCGCGCACGCGCCGCCGGTCAGGATTTGCACCCCCCCCTCGTGGACGCCCCCCTCTTTCAGGAGGGAAAAAACACACAGACACAATTCATTGTCGATCCCCAGGAAAATATGGGATGGGAAGTGGGGGGGAAGACGAACATTCAGAAAATATGGAACAATATGGGGGATCCTTTTGTTTGTGTGTATTGATTTGTGTGTGTCCCAGGGCCCCTTTACTCCTGGCCGCTCCCGAGGAGCGGGATGGCCCCTGGGGGCGCGGCGGGGCCTGGCTCTCGCGCGCGCGCGCTGGGGGGGTCGACGTTGGGGGCATGTCTGGAGCGAGAGCCACGGACTCCGACGCGCCCCGGCGCGCCCCGGCGGCGCGCCCCGGCGCGCGCCGGCAAATCCTCGGACATGATCTTTGGGTGGGGCTCAAGAGACGGTCACCACTCACCGAACCACCCCAACCCCACCCGAAGGTCTCGATTTGCCCTCCATTTCCAGTTGGGGGGGGTCGGGGGACATCGGGGAAACACGTATGGAACCCGTACCCCCCCCAACCCGAAATTCGGGTCTTCGGGTTGGGTTGGGGTGGTCTGGTAGGTAGTCAGACGGGGGTCGATGCAAACGGGGGTCAGCCAGGGCTCCGGATCCTGCAGGATCCTGCAAAGACCCCCTCTGGCTGACCTGGGTTAGCGAGCCGTTCGTGGCCGCGAGGCGGCCGCGCATATTGGCTGACCCGGGTTTGCGAAGACCTGCGTTGCATTTTTTTGTTCCCGCATTGCAGTTTTTTGGTTTCCTGCTGACCCGGGTCTGGATTGACCCGGGTCAGAAGATCCCCGATTTGGGGGTGCCGTGGGGCCTGAGTGTCTCGCGTGCCGGGGGGTGTCTTTTGGGAGAGCTCCAGACTGGGGCGCGCCCGGCGCGCCTCCGCGCGCGTCTGAGGGCCTCCTCGGGGGGGCTCGGGGGGCCAGTTTCATGATGCTGTTCCACGCGAGGGCGCCTGTTTGGAATTCGTCGGCTGAATTTCCCGCATTTCTCTCGGAAGCGGACTTCTGGGCCTTGTCGAGGCTCGAGGAGCCGGCTTTCTGAGGATGTCCTGCGCGAGGGCGCCGGTTTGGAATTCGTCTCCGGATTCCCACGGAACAAGAGGGCCCTTGAGGGCCTCCTCGGGGATGCTCGGGGTGTTGGTTTTCCGAAGACGTCCTGCGCGAGGGCGCCCGTTTGGAATTCGTCGCCGTATTTCCTGGGTCCTGGATTTCCCGAACACGGATCCTCTTTGGAGAGGCTCCTCGGGGGTGGTGGGCTTGTTTTCCACCACCACCACCACTATAAGTAGGAGGGGGAGGGGGTGGTCCTCCTCCTCCTCCTCCTCCTCCTCCTCCTCCTCCTCCTCCTCGTCCTTCGCCTCCTTCCCCCCTCCAACTTATGGTAGTGGTGGTTGAAAACAGGCCCATCAGGGGGGGCACTTCTCGGAGGATGGTCCCACGCGACGGCTCCGAGCTGGAGTTCGTCGGCGGACTTCCCGGACTTCCCGGAAACAGCCGGGGCGGTTGGCGGGCCCATTCTTTCGCGCGGGGGGTCAGGATGGCGCGAGTTCTCAAGACAAACCCCTTCAAGTAAGGAAGAGGAATGGAGAGGCGGAGGAGCGGAGGGAGAGCAGGGCCAGGAGGAGGAGGTGGAGGAGAAGGAGGCAACGGAGGAGCAGGAGCAGGAGGAGGAGAAGGAGGAGGAGCAGGAGAAGGAGAAGGAGGAGCAGCAGGAGGAGGAGGAGGAGCAGCAGGAGAAGGAGAGGCTGGCGGGTTGTGGAGTGCCTCTGTTTTCCGGAGGAGTTATTGTAGTCTTTTCATTTCGTGTCGTTAACACTATCATGTTTTTTTTTTTTGTTTCTGTCCCTCTCTCTCACTCTGCCTCTCTTTTTCTTTCTCTTTCTCTTTTTCTTTCTCCTTCTCTCTCGCTGTCTCTCTCTTTCTTTCTCTTTCTCTCCGCGCTCGCTCAAGCTATACCGTCAGTCTGTCAGCATCTTCAATGGCCAGTTCAGCCTGCCATTTGTTTGCCATCTTTACCTGCTCAGCCCGGGTGAGCCTCGCCGCGCACGGGTAATCCGTAAGGGCTTCGCCCCCTGCCGCCGGCGCCCTCTCTGTCAGACTGGGATATGTCAGAGTCGCGTCGGTACGTCTCGGCGCTGCCTTGTCGCATCTGGGAGCATCATGCGGGGGCGGATCGGAATCTTCAGCGCATATTCAGACGTTGCATCGTCGAAGACGCCTACGGCGAATCACTGCCGCCTCTTTCCTCTTTGGAAGCGCCTGCGCGGCCGAAGTTCGGGTTTGAGCCAAGCTATCGGGCCACGCGTTCCCCGAGTGGGTTTCGAAAGCCTTCGGGGAGCACGGTGTGGGGCGAGCTATCGGGCCAGGTGGTTTCCGAGCTTTCGGGGCTCCTGGAGGACGTCTTGGAGGGGCCTTGGGCTGTCTTGGAGGCCTCTGGCGGACCTTTTGGGCAGTCTAAGGCCATCTTGAGGCCATCTGGGGCCGTCTTGGGCGCATCTTGGGGCCATCTTCGCTGTCTTGGAGGCCTTCTTGGCCGTCTTGGAGGCATCTTGGAGGCCATCTTGGCCGTCTTGGAGGCCATCTTCGGCGTCTTTGGGGTCAACTTGGGTCGTCTTAAACCAACCGAAAAACATCCGGAACAACACAGCAAAACAACCGACGCATCCTCAAGTTGTGTTTTTGTTCGGGGTTCCCCTCCCGGAAAACATTAGACAAAAAGCCCAACACACCTTCGAACAATTTTTGAAAAAAACGAGTTGGGGGGGTCCTGGGGGGGCTAGCCCGAATTGCGATTTGAAGGGGTTTGTCTGGTCGCTCCCGGGAACCTCTCGAAGAACCATCGACAACCCCCCAATGTTTTTGTTCCGTGTTTTTTATATTTGTTTTGTTGCTTTTGTTTGTGTTTGTTTGGGGCTGTTGTCCAGAAGCAATATTGTTTTTAAGTGTCGGGCCCCGCGAACCACACAACAACCCTCCGAGCTCCCCCGCGGGGATCCGGGGGGGGAACACACACTCGAACATCAAAAACAACTCGGTTTTTTTCGGGGGTTTCCCAGGGGGGTTCAGGGGAACTCCCACACTGGGCTCCGCAGCTTGGTACCCCGTTTCCTCCTGCCTGTGCTTTCCCCTCCTTCTCCTCATCCCCATCGCCTTGCATCTGAAGCGGACGATTTCTGCGGATGCCCAAGCAATCTCAGAATGTTCAGGCTGACAGCATCCAGTTAGGACCACCAGCGGTTTTCCTGGTTACCGATGCTCAGTGCCCTCACCGTTGGCATTCTCTCCATCGCTCTGCATTGTTCTTCGCGCATCCCCTGTTTGAGGAAACGGAGGGGGAGGAGCGGAGGAGGAGGAGCAGGAGGAGGGGGACGAGGTTGAGAAGAGGAGGGGGATGAGCAGGACGAGGATAGTGAGCATGGATCACTCGCGGATGTGACTCCTCATTTGCGCAGTTGCCCCGCCAGGCATCGAAAGGCACCTGTCGCAGCGTTCCACCAGCAGGCAGAGGCGCACGTTTCCCGGATAGAGTGGGCGGACCAGAGTTGGCAGACCAGGTGACGTCGTATGGTGAGAAGGAGGAAGAGGACAAGGCGGAGGAGGAAGAGGAAAGCGATAATGAGGAAGACAACGAAACGGAGGAGGAGAGTGAGGGGGAGGATGAGAAGGAGAGGGAACAGGAGCAGGAGCAGGAGCATGTTCGGCATCATCAAGATTGTTGGCCTGTGCCTTTGCCTAGCGTGCGGCACCGCCAGATTTGGCCCACCATGCTTCGGCGCCACATGCTAACCGCTTCCCAGTCCCCAAGGCGTCAACCTCCGGAGCTCTTCCCAGCCTCCCGCCCCGCGGAGCGGAGCGACACAGCATCCGCTCGCCAGGCATCTGTCGCCGCGCCGTTTGTTCCGGCGCGGGGCCCCACCAGGGCAAAATACCGCCGCGGACGCAAGGTCTGCCTTGGGTCGGCCGTGGTCTTGGCTTCGTGTACTTGGGCGCGTTGAGGACAAGCGGCGCGGCGACATGTCGTGTCACCAGGGCCACCTCCGCGACACGCTGAGCACAAAGTCAACGGGCGAAGAACGGTATAAAGTAAACTTTTTCGCGGTCGGGGGCGCCTGCCCCTGGGCGGCTGGAAAGTCTGTACCCTTACGGTGGCACCGTAGGGGTATAAACTTTCCAGCCGCCCAGGGACAGGCGCCCCCGACCGCGAAAAAGTTTATTATGTACCGTTCTTCGCTCGCTGACAAAGCTCATGACCGTATGGGGAGGATGATCAGAATGAGGCTAGGACGCCTCAGCGATGCTGCAAGACAGCCTTTTGTCCCAAGCCTCTCTCGCATAGCTGCGTAAGGCCCGACATGTACTCCTCTGCACTGGGCATGGTTTGATGGGCCCCTACCACCACAAAGTCCAGGATTTGGTTTGGGCCCTGACGTTTAATTCAAAACGCATAATTCCCAGAAGACATCGAATTCCATGTAATTACATTTAATTCAGCGACTAAAAACAATTAATGGCATTTAATTGCAACGTCGCCAAGTCAATTCAATTGTTCCACGGGCATGCTCGATGGTATCCCGCATGGATGCCATGGGTAAGAATTTCTTTTGAATGCTGGGAGCGCCCCCTTGAAATGTGAGCGTCCAATGGGCTCTCTCCACTCCGGCGAGACAAGGCTTCGCCCCCACTTGGAGCTATGCCAGTGTGAGCTTGCCGTCTCTGCGAGAGCCCTACGGTGAAGAAGAGCCGCCCTCCGTTGCCGGCGCAGGT